ACTGCTGCTGTTGACACTCCCCTATAACCCCACACCCAAGAGCTTGACTTGTGGTGGTTCTTCCTGACATACCTCTTATCTGCATATTCTGTATTTATTCCTGATTTTGAGTCGGGTGGTGTCGTGTTAACGTTCAGGATGCTTGACCCTTTGAGGTCAATGTCACCAGTTGATTTGGTGAATCTATCTTCTACCCACTTTCTGTTTACTGCGTCGCTGTCGTCGGTGCGGATTTTTTTTCCGTAGACAGTCGGACTCCTCATTGATAGTCGGACGCATCATTGATCCGCGTCCAGGCCTCCACGCGTTATCGATGGATCCCTTCGTACCCTCTGGTATACCATATATCCATCACTCCACGTTGTTCTTCTTCGACCACGTGTAGAAAGATGAACGATTTGCTTCGCGATGCCATAGTAAATCTACAAACTTGTTTTTTTGGTTCCGAAAATACTCAAGAACTGTTATTGCGCGAGTTAAAAGTCTTAAAACTATATATGATCCCAATTGAAGAGAATCAGGATAAGATAACTAGCGTGTAAGGAAATACTGGAAGATTCAAAGAGACCATCAAGACCACTTTCCACAAATAGAAGTATTGCAGAATACCCGTCCACTAGTAATATCATATCATGTATCCTGGTCACCATTTCACTGGATATGTATATACCAGATCAATATTGCCTCGTTCAAATATGCACATGCAAACTAATTACTAATATTACGAATTGATATAATAAAGGAAATATCATGCAAGACTTTTAATGTTTAATATTTATGCTTAGTATGCTTTATAATATAATTTTTTTTCTTCTGGCGACGCTAATTAATCATAATCTGTCAAACACCAATGTCTGGTTGTGAGGAACATATTTACATATTACACCACATTAAACTCTCTATAGCATGAGACTTTAATCTACTAACGCTAACTGTCGTCTTAATCTCAAAATAGTTACTTGACTGAGTATCCACGTATCCGCGTATCCACTAAAGTATAGAGCTACCTATAGCATGGAAATTTGATCTATTGCTAATCTAACTGTATGCCTTGTTCTCAAAATAACTACCACTTGACTATTTATCCGCGTATTCAGCTACCTTTAATTAACACTATGACAATTTAATCTGTTAATGCACTGTAAGTCACTGTATGCCTCGTAGGCTCGTAGCTACCTTTTACTACCATGGTATTTTAATCCATCAATCTATTTATTATTAATCTATTGAGAATAAATATAGATGTATTAATACATCGTATCCATGCATGATTTTTTTATGTATTTTCCCCTATGTACAGCTTTGTTAATATTTACAAATATTTTCTAATAATATTGGGCTAGGGACCTACTAGAAACCCTAACGGGCTTTTTAATTTGGGCCCCTAGTTACAGTTCATTGTTATCTATTAATTAATGTTTAATGTTTGAAAGGCATAGCTTATTAAATATTCTGCAATCGCTCCAAGAGTTAAAAAAAAAAGTTACAAAAGCAAAGAAAAGCAAGTGGGAATGGCGAATATAACTTAATAAAATATGCCAGATGTCATCACCGTACAAAATATGAAGCCACAATGTGTTCTACTGAGATTTTGACATCTCAACCAAGCAATACAATATTTTGAAATCACCAATTGCGTGCGCAAACACACTGGGAAGGCGCATCTAATAAGAAGAGTATCCGCTGAATGTTTTGTTTAAGGGTGCGGGTCAATGACGCGTCCGACTATCAGTGAGGAGTCCGACTGTCTACGGAAAAAACATTTGCGTCGTCGGTTGGGTCTATTAGATTAACTATTTTGCTTGAGTCTCCCATGTTAATATCACCTTCAACCAGACCCCCAGTTTTTAGCATGAATCTGTCTGTTGCCCACTTCTTTCCAACCGCTGATTGTCTGTTGTTGGATCACCAACTCTTGTTAATTCAAAGTCGTTAACGTCTAGGTTGCTAGCTAAAGTTCCACCATCTCTCTTCACAAACTGTAACCCCCAACTGTCAATCGTCTTACTTGACATTGCAGATGTGTCTCCCACAGAGCCACCTAAAAGTCCCACTATACTATGCCCTCCCATGTCAATATTACCTGTCATCGTAAAGCCACTACTAGTGAGAGAACTTCCACTCACATGATCAGTGACCCACTTCTTATTCACAGCGGACTTATCCGTTGTTGGGTCACTGAGATTTTTGATCTCATGATTTTTCATATCAATGTCTCCAGCAATGTCAAGTCCGGAGACAGGTCTATTTAGAGCTCCGGTCATGTATTCCAGAGCAACAGCGGACCGGCTAGTTGTGGGATTACCAAGAGCCCTTATCTCGTTAGATCCCATATTGAGATTACCCGACATTGCTCTCACACCATCCAGCTGGAGGTGTTTCATACTTTGAAGTCTAACGTAACCCAGAGTTGCAGCATTCTTTTCATCACTGCCAGGGTCAAGATCTGATATCGTATTACCACCCATATTAATGTCTCCAGTCATAGTGAAACCACTGGCGCTTACCGAACTACCGCTTATGTGATCGGTAACCCATTTCTTGGAAACAGCAGACTTCTCAGTGCTGGGATCTCCCAAGTTTCTAACCTCATTACCTCCAACATCTAGGTCATCGGTTAGTGTGATACCACTATAGGTTTCCCTTTTCCTTCTACTTCTAATGATTCTGTTCTCGACCCACCCCTTTGACACAGCTGAGTTCTCAGTTGAGGGGTCAGATAAGTTTTTAATCTCATTAGTTCCCATGTTTACTTCACCGCTCATTGTTCCACCTGACTTCTCCAGGAAACCTCTAGATCCGACTTCAGTTTTCACCCACTCTTTTGACACAGCTGAATTTTCAGTTGTTGGGTCACCAAGGTTTAGTATCTCATTACTACCCATCTTGATGTCACCAGTCATCGTGAATCCAGAGCTTGACAGACCTTGTGGTCCACCCTTTGACATCTCCTTATCAACCCACCCCTTCGACACAGCTGAGCTCTCAGTTGAGGGGTCAGGTAAGTTTAGTATTTCGTTCTTTCCCATATTGATATCACCAGTCATCGTGAACCCAGAGTTGATTGGTTCAACTTCAAGTGATTTCTTATATTATAATATATATTTTAAGGTGATGAACGACACTAATCCACTAACTATAGTTGTAGTTGTCACGTCTATTTGAGAGCCTGGTTTTTTCATGGGTGGTGTCACGTGTGCTGGGTGCTTCGTCGGGGCAGCTGTTTTGTCACCAAGGGTGGGAAGGTGATGAATCACTTCGTGACTACCATGTAGCTTTTTGACCGTCTTTGGAGCACCTAAGTAGTTTAGTGTTGGATTAACACCACGTTTCATGTCTCTGGTAGCATTCACAAGCACATTATTATACCCCGTAATGTGCTTCTTCAGGATTATTAGACTAGATGGAATCAGAACTATCCCAGGTGTTATAGCAGTATTAAGAATAAAATTTGTGTCACGAATAGCATTTCTCATGTTTGTTAAAGTTACAACGGGATCAGCTTGTACAATACAATCGTGAACAATATTGCTAAACTTTACCTGGGTAGAATACGATTTTCCCAGCTCGCCAACAATTGAAGTTCTAGTCGACGCTTGTGCACCTAACACAGAATATACGAATGCCTGCACCGACTCATTAAGTAACAGGAGACCAGTCTCAGTAATATTCTTGGGAATATTAAAGGGATTAACAGCAATGAACCTTTTATAGTCAGACTTACTTACTAATTTTGTTGAAACCCTTTCCTCGTAACTAATTTTTATCTTTATTAGGAACCCATTAACTGAGTTAATAGGCGACGCCACCACATTCCTGACGGGATTACTACCACTTTTTCTACCCCTAAGCCAACTCAACCTTTCATACTCAAGTCCCTTGTCGTAGGTAACCCTATAAGTGTCAGTTTTCTTTTCCCACTTACCAACAATGGGAATGCGACTCTTTACAGGACCCAGCCTGTCTAAATACGGTTTGATCCTTTCAGGGTTATACACATATTTCATAATACAGTAGTAAACATGGAAATTCATAATACTTGTAACAACTGGATAGGTTCTATCTGTAAAGGTCAAATGACTAGTGGTAATTCCACTTAGGTGAGTTGCGATGTATGCACCACAGAGAGCGGCAAAGTATGGCTTTTTGTAGTCGAACTTTACATCAATACCGTCAGTGGTAACAGAATTTTCTACACTAGGAAGAAGAAGTCCACCTGCACCACCTGAAGTACCAAATGAACTTGTAGCATCATCATATACCTTAAAACTGCTAACATCTTTAGGCCACCTTATTCCAGGAAAATAACTGTATCCATCAACTGTATCATCAGGATTAACTCCGTATCCTTTTCCCTTCCCAGATGTCCACATAGTGGGCCATCCTGATTCTGTCAACTTAGAGTGTTCCCGAAATGGAACATCCGTCGTTTGTGTAAATTGGACTGGTATAATAGGTTTCTTCCTGGTCCCTGTAAGATATGATGTGAACTCCTTATTCTTCCTAAAGCCATCATACCTAATATCATAGGATGTAATTCCATCAAGATCTACAAACCAAGTCACGACTCCAATACCACCTCCACTAGTTGGTTTTGCCTCAAACCTGAACCTTCTTATATCAGCGTGTGGATACTTCTCCATGAACCTTACTCTTTCACTGTTTTCAGCTTTCCTACCCACAACTGGGTCGACACTGTCTGTTATGTCATTGGTTTCCTCATCCTTTCCATATTTTTTCTCATAGTCTTGGTATGAAACATATATGGACTTACCGATTGCACCACCACCAGGTTTCATATTATATAACATAACTTACATTATAAGATGAGGAAATTTACGGTTCTGATTGATAGTTACAGGACGGTTGTGAACTTACAGGATTCAGTACTAACAAGTAAGTATGAGTTTGTCTTCATAAAGAGAGCGACTGTCTTCTGGGAGTATTATAACGTTACTGAACAATTCAATGGGTTTAGAGTTAATGACAACGACGTTGTAATGTACTCTGGTTACTACACTTTCAAGGATGTTCAGAAACTGATGAGGGATAGTGGAGGAGTTGACTTACAACCTACTAGTACTAACAGTGGGTGTTACATCAAACCTGGTAGCGGCAATTCTTTTTGTGTGACAACATACCTATCGAGACTTCTCGGGCTAACGATGGACGACAGTGAGGTGGTTATTGATCCAGACACAACATATACTAGTAAAAAGAGGATGAATATAAATCTTGGGCTGGAGTACATCAACATATCATGTAACTTAGTTAATGAGAGCTTTAACGTTCACACTGAGGGTACCAGAAGCGATGTGGTGACCTCATTAGCTGTGACAACAACTCAGTCTTTGTTCGGCTCGGTTACGGAGTACTTTGACATTGAGAGCAAAGTGCCGGTTAACAAAGGTTCATTCAATCAGCTGAAGTTCTACGTGACAGACCAAGATGGAAAACCAGTAGAAATCGGTAAGATCCTGCTTGAGTTATACATTGTGTAATTCATATGGAAAAGGACGTAGAGTTGGAGCAAGAGCTGAGGAACATCTACTATAATCCCAAAACAGGGTACCAATCTGCTGAAAGACTTTACCAGAAAGCCTTAGCTGAAGGTTTGAGGGTGACCAGGAAGCAGGTGAAACTGTGGCTTAAATCACAGGATACATACACCAGGTACAAACCAATTGTTAGAAGACATAAGTTCAGACAAACATCAGTTGAGTATCTAGGGGAGCAGATACAGATGGACTTAGTTGATATGAGTAAGTATAGAAATAAGAGCAAAGGGTATAACTGGATATTAACTGCTGTTGAACTTTTGAGTAGGTACGCCTTCACAGTTCCAGTCCTTAGGAAAGACACAAACAATATGACAGCAGCAGTCACAGAGTTGCTAGGACAGTTTAAGGGTCGTTTTACTGTATACCCTAAGTTAGCACAGTTTGATGATGGTAAGGAGTTCTATAATGTTGGTGTTAAGTCATTGTTGGAGAAGGTCGGTGTTAGATACTTTTCCACCTACTCAGAGAAGAAAGCAGCCGTTGTGGAAAGATTTAACAGAACCCTGAAAACCTCAATGTGGAAGTACTTTTACAGTAAGGGGACCTATAACTGGGTTGATGTTCTGCAGAGTCTAACTGATAGTTATAATAACACGAAACACAGCTCTATACTGATGAAGCCAAACAATGTCAGCGAGGACAATCAGGGTGAAGTCTGGATGACACTCTTCGGTCACAACTATGGGGACCTACCATTACCAAAGTTTAAAGTTGGTGACACTGTTAGAATATCCAGGTATAAGTCGATCTTCACAAAGGGATACGAAGCAAACTTTACAGAAGAACTATTCAGGGTGACTAAAGTCCTGCGTGGACACCCAAACGTTTACGAGGTAGAAGACTTGGAAGGCGAACCAATAATTGGTAAGTTATATGAGGAAGAGTTATCAGATGTTGAAAAGAAAGATGATGTGTACAGGATTGAGAAGGTACTGAAAAGGAAGAAAGTGAGGGGAAAGAAAATGGTTCTCATCAAGTGGCTGGGTTATGACAGTAAACACAACAGTTGGATTCCTGAGAGTGATCTTCAGAATATCGGGTAGAGTATATAATGGCTGAGGCAGAGTTTGAAGACCTCGAAATGAAAGACATGGAAGACAAGTACCCTGAGTATGATGATAAGAGTTACGATGAACTGTTTAGTGATTTCCAGGAACTCACAACGAGACGTAATAGAATAATCAATAACAGTAGTCTTGATCCAACTGATATTGATAGTGAGATTAAGTATGTAAAAAGTTTAATGGAAAAGCTGTCTGCTAATCAACAGAGCACGTCATTCACTAGCGGTGATGATGGTAAGACGGTAACGATAACGAACGGGAGTAGGGAGGTCACTGCACCCGCTGTTGAGTTCGTAGACATGTCCGACCGTCCTGAAAACGATATCAGACCAGCCGTTGAAGACTTTATTAGTAAGCACTACGATAGGCGAGACTTCAAGTTTAACTTACACAGTGATAAAGTATCCGAACTACGATTAAACCTTAACCGGACTGGGAAGAACAACAGAACATACCGACCCTTAACAAATAGTAACACACGCGGTAAAGAACAGATAGTCCTGAAACGTGTTAATGGAGATTTACAGTACAACAAAGCAAATGTTGCTAAGGAGGCGGTTGCTCAGTTTAAGCGACATGTTGATGATATACTAAGTGAGCAAGCCACTAACTTCCCAGTGATCGAGACAGATATGGAGCGACCTCGCATAAAAGGTCTAGACCAAGAAGAAAACCGAGATTTAGAAGGTGTAGTGAACCCATCCGATTACATAGACCCACAGTCACGTATTGGGGACAACGGAGCTTTACAAATTCAAGCGGACCACTTTCAGAAAGCACTGGACAGGACAATTGATCAAAGGGATAGAACAAATGACCCCATGGAGTTCATAGAGTTACAGGAGAGAATAAACGGTCTCAGGGAAGCTAGGGACAGGACACTCCAACAGAGGGAGATAGAAGAAGTGAGAGCACAGCAGGAAGAGGATGTTAGTAGACTGCAAAGGTTTAAAGAGTGGGCTAAGGAGAATATGCTAGGTCTGTCTGCCGTTGCTATCACAGTCGCTGGAATTATCACAACGGTTGTCATAGGAGCTCGAACGGCTATTATCAAAGGTGCTCAGGCCACAAGTAAGTTCGCTAAAGCTCTTGCCAACCTAGGGAAGAAACTGGGACCAATGCTACTACCACTGTTTAACATGCTGGCGAAGCTTGTGTCACTAGGTGCAAAGGGTCTGGCTTGGTTAGCAAGCAATCTGTGGGTCCTAGCTATTGCAGTCGCTTGGTTTGTATATGACTACTTTAAGGAGAGGAGGAGAAAGAAGTAAAACATCACTAATATTATAAATGAATACAACTGAGTTTGAGTTGCAACCGGGATTTCGTCGGAAGCAGATGTCTTCAATTAAAGGCACCAGAACAAGAAGTGTAGTAACGTTTAATCCAAGCACGGTGAGTCCAGGTGAGGAACTATATATTGACATACCAAAGTTGAAACCTGACAGTTGTCTAGTACCGGGTACTTTCAACCTACTGTTCGACTTTAAAAATGCCAACACAAAAAGTTGGTTTCTCAATAACTTAGCAAGATTGTTAAGTCAAAGACTACAGATAAAACTGGCAGGTGAGACAGTATATGACTGTTCAGGTGAGTGTCTCTATGGTGTGTACAAGGATATGTGGCTAACTGAGGGTGACAGAAACAAGATGATAGAGTGTGGGTTAGCAGATGAGAACCTAAGGAAGCTAATGTCAAAGGACGACTCAGGTGCTAAGACTGGTGACGGCACCAAAGTGTCAGACGCTCTGATGCTCTCAATCTATGGGACCAAGTTGAAGATACCTCTAGGTAGAATCATAGCAGACCATGGTCTGTACGCACCCTTCAGAATGAACAACAACTTCATGTACATACTGACTCTACCCAAAACCTCAGACATAATGATTGCTCAAACTAGTGAGGCAGTTGGTGGCTACACATTAGAGAATCTAGAATTAGAGTATGAGACAATAGAAAACCAAACTATTGCAGATGAGATTTCCAGTATGTACTCAACTGGTAGGAGTCTTTCTTACCAACACGTCACTCTAATGAGAACGAGTAACTGGGCGAAGGATCTAACCATAGCCAATGAGAACGTGAATCTTCCAAGGAAGAGTATGGCAGCCATTGTTTTACTCTTTACCAAAAAGACGAGGGCCGACTCTGAGGAGTACCTTTACCCTAACATTGAAGAGGTTAAGATTACGATAGAAGGTGTGCCTAACTCTATATTTTCACAGGGACTTCCAAAAAGTAGGTTCTTCGAAGAGGCTAAGAGATTCTTCTGCCCATCCTGTGAAAAGGTAATGGCAGATGAGTTCATGTCTATCCAGAAGTTCTTCAAAGATGGGTTCGCCTTAGTTATATACCTTAGGAGTAATGAGGACGATGTAACAGGGAATGGTAAGAAAATCGTTAACACACAGAGTGGAGTTCTGCTGAAGATTAAGAAGAAAGCTACAACTGAAGATGTGGTGTGTAACCTGTTCGTTGTATCAGACGCTCTGGTGAACTTTGTCAACAGGGACCTGAGCTCAATTCAGTACTAACTGAATTGAGCGAAGGATTGCGAAGCAACCTGAGCTCAATTCAGTACTAGACATGAGTTATTCTATAAAATGCTAGAGACACCTTTCAACATGTTGGTTGTTGGTATGACTGGATGTGGTAAGACTAGATTCATGCTGGAAATGTTAGAGAAGGAATACATGAGACACTTTGATCACATAGTAATAGTCTGCTCAACACTGGATTGGAACAGTACATATCAGAATTGGAAGTATCTCAGCGACAGGGATGTAGTGACTGTCCCATGCGGTCATAGTATGGTTGAGAAGACCCTAAGCACAGTGTCTGGTGTATACAGAGGGTCAAACACTTTGGTAGTTGTTGATGATTGCGCGAGTGGCCAGGATGTGAAGAATAGGGTCTCTGAGATTGTGAATCTAGCATTCAGCGCTAGACACTATGGTTTGAGTACGATAGTTCTAACTCAGCAATTAACATCAGTAGCCAAACCATACAGGGAAAATATTAGTAGACTGGTAACATTTTATAATCCTAATAAGCATGACATGAAGTCAATTGTGGATGACTATCTAAATGGAACGACGCAGGAGGAACTGACTGAGATAATCAGGGAGTTGAGGGATAATGAATTCTCCGCGCTCGATATAGTATTAAGATATCCATTCAGCTATAACATAACCTATAGTAGTAATGTCAAAGCGCAAAAGCAAACCAACAACAGTAGAGGAACTGGAGATAGAAATGGAAGCAGCCGCTGCTGAAGTAGTGAGTGCCGCTGAAGATGTAGAGGCTACACTTCCGGACACGCAGAAAACCGCGAACACCAACCTAAGCACCGAGGAGAAGAGGGCTGCTCTGATAGTCATGTCGGAGGATGGTGAGCTGGAAAAGTCTGTGGAGCTTATTAGAAAGGCAAACAGGAAGACAATAAATAAAATTTATCAGGAGTGTGAGAGAAGGAGGAAAAGGAAGGCGGACGAATTTCTGACTGATCTGATAATATCAAAGTTTGCTTGCCTTCTTGGTGGGCTCAACGCCATTTCAGATAGTGAAGAACTTAATAAGGAACTAATGAGTGACGAGCTGCTTAGGGGAGATGTCTGTCGTGCAGTCGCGATGATCACACCATATGTTCCGTTTCTTGGTATCCTATCAGGTGGGATAACAACAGTAAAACACATAGCTGACCGCTCCCTAACAGGTGGAGCAGGCAAAGAGGTTGCGACAACTGAGGAAGTAAAACAATAGGTATCTTATAGGAAATATGTCTGATGGTAAGAAAGTATACTGCGGATCGAGAAAGCCTAGAGGTGGTGCAAAGCTAGGGTCTGAGGGGCATTGTGAAAGTATGGGTCAGATCAGACTTTGGGGATTGAAGCAAGCGAAAGGAAGAAGGGACCTCACAGATGAGGAGGAACTGCAGAAGAGAATACTTATGGGTATAATCATAGAGAAACTTAAGGAAGCCAGGAATGAGTACGAGGGTGATTGGGAGGATAGGGAGGAAAAAGCTGAGATGGCGTCTTACATCAGAACCCTCGTTACACTTCTGAAAGAGGTGAGAGTCGACCTTGGAATAGGCACTGAAAAGATGGTGGAAAAAGTAGTGGCTCAGACGAAACTCCCACCAAGAGAAACGAGAAAGCTGAAAGCTGTCCTAGCAAGTCAGGAAGAAACTGTAAGAAAAATCTCCGAGAAGCTGGCGAGGGCCAGAACAGCGAGTACCATAGAAAAATACACCGAGAAGTTGGATGACGCTGAAACTGCCGCAGTCGAGACAAAGGAGAAGCTTGGAATGATTAAGGTGAAGCCTGGAGAAAGGGAAGAGTCAAAGAGGAGGGAAGAACTTGGGCGTGCTATGGGAGTTGTAAGGGAGACCTCAGTAAAGCTTAAGAACCCTGGAAAGAACAAGGAGGAACTAACGAAGAGACTCCAAAAGTATCAGGATAAGGTGAAAGAAATAAGGAAATCCCTCGGGATAGCAAACCGGGAGGAGTCCCTGAGGTTGGAGATGAAGGAACTCTCTGATAAGATTAAGACTCTTAACACTAAGACTGATAAGGAAGAGAAGAATATGCTGATGAGAGCATGGTTTGAGTCAGGGAAAAAACTTAAGGAAACGAGAAAGAAAAAGGAAAAAGTTGTGAAAAGTACTTAAAGAAAAAACAATATAATAAAGTATTGGGGAAATGAGTCTGAAACAAATGGTGTTCAAATGTGAAAATCCTGAAGCCAGTGTGAAAGCCATACTCACACCAAGTGGAGAAACATACCTTAAGGGTTATGATATAGCCAAAGCTCTAGGGTATGTGAAACCCAAGCATGCTATTAAAAGGCATGTAGATGAAGAATATAAGTCAACGCTGAGGGATCTAAAAGGGGCCCCGTTTCAGGGCCCCTTTGAAGGCGGTCAACCAGGGACAATTTACATCACGGAGCCTGGTTTCTACGCACTTGTCTTTAAATCCAATCTCAAGACCGCTAGGGAATTCCAGATGTGGGTCTTTAGCTTTGTCCTGCCGACTCTAAGAAAAACCGGTCAGGTGAGACTTAACCCCAACAACTTATCCTTCAAGATTGAGAGTGAGTTTGACCTACACGTTAGAGTTGTCAGATACATTCGGAGATTCTACCCAGACGCTCTAATAACCGCTGGACTTGGTGAACTACAGGACACCTCAAGCAAAAGAATAGCCAGCTGGAGGAAAGGCTACCAGAAAGGTCAACCAGACATAATAATCGGAAACCCAAGTAAGAGACACATAGGATTCTGTATCGAGCTTAAGACTCCAAAGGGAACTGGATCACTCAGTAAGGAACAGGAAGATTTGCTCAGGAAATACAGACGTAACGGCTATAGGTGTATGGTCTCGAATGACTATGACCTGATAGTAAGAGAGGTGATCGAGTACTTCAAAGACCTGAGAATAAAGTGTGAGAACTGTAGTAGGAGATTCCTAAGTGAAAACTCACTGAGTAGTCATGAGAAGTACTTCCATAAAATAAGGTGTGTTTGAGATAACTGGCAAGTAGATTTGAGATAACTGGCAAGTAGATTTGAGTTAACTGGCAAGTAGATTTGAGTTAACTGGCAAGTAGATTTGAGATAACTGGCAAGTAGATTTGAGTTAACTGGCAAGTAGATTTTAGTTAACTGGCAAGTAGATTTGAGATAACTGACAAGTAGATTTGAGTTAACTGGCAAGTAGATTTGAGTTAACTGGCAAGTAGATTTGAGATAAACATAAGTTAAAGTATAACTAAAATGAATGATAACAAGGGAGCCCTCAGAATAACAAGCGATAAACCCAAGGATCCACGTAGGGTCGAGGCTGGTAAGAGACTAGCAGCTATTAGTAGGCAGGCGAAAGAGAGGAAGAGAATGAAAATGGCAGAATCTGAGGAAAAGGACAGTTGGTCATCCAACACCAGCTATCTAGTTACAGGTATCGGGATACTCATCGGAATTGCCTCTCTTTATTTCAGTTACAAGGATGATAAGAGGGGGGAGGCACAAATGAAGGAAACTAATAGCAAAGAAAAAACAGTCAAAACTGAGGGGTTGCTCGACAGCTTGGAGTAAGGAAGTAAAACATACACTATAGTATATAAATAATGTTAGCTGAGAAAGAGTCAATGAACGAAGTGTACGACGCAGTGCTAATCACAGCTGGAGCAGTGGCAGTATCTATGGCTTCGAAGAAACTGCTAAAAGAACCGTTGGGAACTCCTGAGAGCTTAAAGGGGTTCAGTAAACTCGCAGTTTCTGTAAGTGTTTCGGCGCTGCTAGTGAAGTACCTACAAAAGAAAAAGTATTTACCAATTGACCCCTTCAGTAATAAGTAAGTTATGACTTATCATATAGATGGTAAGTGTGGTAGCAGGTGGTGTATTTAACGCGATAGCGTTCGCTGGGGCAGGGTTCCTGTTCCAACACCTCAACAAGAATGGGTATGAAGAAGAGATGAAAAGACATAACAAAGCACTCGAAGACCTAGCGAAAGCTAAAGAGCTATTTAGTGAAAACGAAATAAGGGAAAGAGACCGCATACAGAAACTAAGGCAGGAGCTATCAGACGCAAACGCCGACATAAAACACACAAACCAGTCCCTGGAACTTCTGAGAAAAATACGAACTGTGATGTATAATGGAACCAAGTTCACAGAAGAGCCGAAACTCAAGGACTTCTACAAACCCAGTCCCGAGATGGAAAAATATCAAGCAATCGTTGGCGCTGCAATTGGGGTTGGTGTTGGCTACTTAATGAATAGAGTCATATAATAGATTATAGAGAGATGGAAAACCGGGAGTTAATAAACAGGCTAGTTCAGATTAATGATGAGGAGTTCGATAAAATTTCCAGAAAAAGTGAAACACTTGATGAGTTAAAGGGGGGGATAAGTCCCTTCTGCGCATGTGCCCGGCGTTTGTTTATGTTTTGATACATTACACATGTTATAACATGAAGTATTGGCATTTTACAACAATATTTTATCAAACATGGCGATTGAAATGAGCGAAACTTTATATAGTTCACTTGTTTGTGTGGTGGTGCCTGCTTTTTATAAGAAATATAGAAACTTTTGACTTGTACAAGTTTGAATAATTTTCCTTTTGAACCGCATACTATTAGCGTGATAAACACGCGGACACGCCGAATCATGCATGAAGTATGATCAACCGACGAATATGAATTGTTCAATGCCCGATTGCTCTTTACTCAACAACAAGCTGACAATATTGAGTACACAACAGTAAGTTTAATGGTTTATATGTTGCTTGTTGTTGATAAATTCTAGTCTGCATGTTTTTGCATGGATTAACGATATATGAGAGCTTTATATCTTTCATAAATACTGCACAAAATATATACCGCATTTGAATTGTTAGTAGATATATGAAAATCTACAATTTATGAAATTGATATACGAGTTGGACAATATTTTAAACCAATTGCATGTCCTGGCTATATATAGCTAAATTCTTAAAGCATATATAATTGTTTTATTTGCAAAGATTGAAATGGTGAACAAAACAAGTTTTGACTTTTTTCCCCATTGCTAGCAGCAGCCTTGTCTTTGCCATTTGTCATGCTATTGTAAATTATGCAATTAACCTGAAATTTATATTGCTTCCATGCATTAGGACACTTTCTCAAACACCATAAAGGCAGATTACTATTGGGACAAGCAGTTAATATCATGAAGCATGAAGATCTCTGAAAGAGGCAAACCTATAGTCTGACTGCATTCTTTAATTTTGAGCCTTTCTATGCATGACAGGATTTAGTGTAAGATGAAAATGTTCAAGACTATCTGTGGAGAAAACACCGAATGATATAGCTAATGGTGAAATTCAAACGGGTTGCTGACTGTAATGAGTGCCGCTGAGAGGGGGCATTTTGGGCTTGGGAGTGATGGGACCCCAGATTGATGGGACCTCAGATTAAAGGGACCCC